TATATATATATATATAGTGATGAGTAATGTTTTTTAAAAATTTAATTGGCTATAAGGCTACAAAGATTTAAAAATAATTTAAATTATTAATTTAAAAATAGAATAAAAATATATTAAATTATATTTAAACAACATTTAATATAAACAATAAGATTTAAAATTTTGCCCCAACCCTTAAGATCCTACGACTACGTGATTAGGGTTATTAAAACGACTCTTTGTTCGTGAACGACTCGTGTCCGGCTCGCTAAACAAATGAGCTGAACACGAACAAACCTTATGTGTTCAAAATTTAAACAAGCCGAACACGAACAATAATATTTTTTAACGACCCGAACACGGGCTAAGCTTGGACGCTCTCTGTTCTGCTCATTTACACAATTACACCTCTAGTTGTAAGGTGTAACAAGTGATCTTTTGGTGGCGAAATTTTTGATGTAACGAAATGACTTAATTTTTTAATATTTATTTAGTTTAGTTATATTTCACATAAAATAAAATGTAATCATGATTTTAAAACAAATCAGTTTTTAATTTGTGATTGTTAGCATTGAGAGCGATAATTATTTTTTCAAATATTTATAAATAGGGGCGTTAGATCATAGCACTCTTTTTTTTTTGTATTTATAACTCACACCTAAATTTTCATACACACATAACAATCAAATCTTTAATATCACATTAAAAATAATACTTATTATTTTTCATGCACATATCTAAATCACCAAAATGCTATGAAAGTTTAGGTATGAGATATATAAATATATAAGAATTATGTGCGACGTAAAAATATATATATTAAAAAAAAATAATTTGTTTTCAAAAAACACTAAACAAAATATTTTTAGAAAAAATCACAAATAAAAATTAAAAAAAGCCCAAAATATGCATTAAAATTGTGCTGCATTTACATAGATATCACCCTATTCTTATGTACTTGCATATCTCTCACCTAAATTTTAGTACTTACATTTATACCACCCAACTTATTCAAATCACATCCAAAATGACATTTCCATGCATGGCTAATGTGGCAAACATGTAAGAAATTAAAACTCGAGGGGTATGTATTTAATTCTTCATTACATAGCTATATATAAAAATTAAAGTAGGTGTTAGATACGTAAACAAGTAAGAATTGAGTGGTGTGCAGAGCTAAGGTGCACGGCAAATCAAAGCAGTAACTTCCAAGGGGTTCTTACATGCAGAGCACTAAAAACATCAGAATTTATACATCACGCACCTAAACTTTGATATTTGCATAAAAAACACATTCTGTAACCCCCAATTTTCTTTGCCATCCGGTAGAGACGAAGCCCCACGGCCAAACCCCGCAATTTCTCGAGAAAATATTACATCCGGACTCTGGACGTAATTTGCGTCCAGAGTCCAAAAGTTGGGGCACCTTGTGTCAAGTGGGCCCGACCAAATACAATGACATTAGTCAGTATTAAAAGTGATGGAGCCCACTTGAGATGTGACGCCCCCAAACATCTGTTCGGAAAACAGAGTCAAATTAAAAACGTCCAACCACTAGGTGCCACAGAAGCTCGAACCGTCAACACCAAAAGAGGATACATAAGAAAGATCATTTCGTCTTACGTATTAGGCTCTCGAAATGACTTTTTTTTTAATACGAAGTTCTCAGCAAAATTAAAATCGTCAAACCACTGGGTGCTACAGCTACAAAAATATAACATCATGTTCCATATCATAGAGTCAAAATTATAAAAATAAAAAATAAAATAAAAAAAGAGGATACATAAGAAAGAAGGAATTGGTGATCAGCTCTTCTTCCGCTCTTTACATTTGGCCGAAGCTCACGCAGCTATTGATATTATATTTTACCAGATTTTAAATACAAACAGTGCTCTCTGTCTCTTACAGCAACCAGTTTCAAACCTTACCAGCATTGACCAAATGCTTGCTTGATGTCTTCTTCTTCCCGTTATTAAGACTTTGGTTTTGGTTCTCTTCCTTAGAAATCAGCCTCGCACCAGCCGGATTAGAACCATTATCGTCTAAGCTTCCATTGCAGTCAGTTTTAATCGCCACGCTTTCTGTGATAATGTTTGGTTTTTCTTCGATAATTTTAGAATAATCTTGTTGTGATTCTGGATAGAATGTAGCACCCGCGTCCTCAGAAAATGATGATGATGAAGGTGGCGGCAGCGGCTGCGGTGGTGGTTGAGGATGGCCAGAGCCTGGTGGGGGGAGGAAAACGCCGGTTCCAGGGATGGGGAGTCGAGGTGTGGGATAAGGGATGGCGGCTGGAGCGACAGGAGTTGGGGCGACGAATAGTGGTGGTATGCCGTTGGAAGGAGGAATGTGTTGGGGGTGAACGGGAGCGGGCGGCAGGACTCCAGCTGAGGGGACAACACTGTAATGTTTTAAACAGGAGGACGAATAGCGGGGGGCACTTGGCCGGCCTGGCGATGCAGGCCATGAAGGCTGGGAGGAGATGGTGGGGATAGGGATGCGAGAGATTTCTATGGAAAAAGGTCGTTTAGGGTTAGATTTTCCAAATGTTAAAATGATTCGCTGCTTGTGGATGGAGGGGATGGCATGCCTGGCTAGATCTGCACTTTTGCCTTGCAAGACTAGAAGAGACCTGCATGGGAAAGTTGGTGAGAACTCAGTTAAGAAGATACAGATACAAGACAACTAATCAGTGTCTGAGTTTTTGGATCCTAATTCTGTAAAAATTTTAAAGTAGAAGATTTTCTAGCTTTGTGATAACAAGTTGTCAAGGTAGGTTTAAAGATGTCTTAGTTCATTTCCTCTCTGAGTGCATAAAAAATAGGGAAATTTACATATGTAGCAGACAATTAACATGCATTTACATATCTCACACCTAAACTTTCATATGCATACATAGCTTTTTGGTGTTTTAAAGCTATGCATGAAAGGTGTATTTCACTTTTAAGAAGTGGTAATAGTGCTATTTTTTTTATGTGATATTAAAGATTTGAGTGCTATGTGTGTAAATATGAAAGTTTTGGTGTGAGATATGTAAATATGTGAAAATTGTGTTATATCTATGTAAATGACCCAAAAAAATATGGATGTTGTATTATATTAAATTCTTTTAATCAGAAACCAAATTTAAACGCAAGCTTGATATATAGTTCTAAAGCCATTCATCATCATTTGAAAGCCTTATCCCAAGTACCAAAGGTTGGCTTAGAAATACTTATAAAATAGTTCCTATAGAGCACAACATTAAAAGTTTACCACATTTTGCACAACTTAATACAAATACAATCATTGGTCTAAACCATTCCCTACCCTAATCATTACATCATAATTCAATCTCCCTAACTTCTCGATGCATCTTATGCCATTTGATACAAATGCCCAAATGTTTATTTTCTACAAAGTTCGATGACACTACTCTCATTGTCTCTCTAATATACGCATCTCTTACTCTATCCTTTCATAACATTATCATATTCATCAGGCGATTTCATCCTTACATCACTCGAGTTTGCATGGCATAGATATTCTAATTACAATTTTATTGAATCAATCTTTTTAAAGTCGGCATGATATAATAGTATGAAGAAGGAAGTTCACCTCTGTCAAACCTGTTTATAATATAATAAGAAACTTCAAAAAAAAAAAAAGAATTCAATAAAATAACAAGTATTTTGCGAGAAAATATCTTTGGGATTCCCTTCAAATACAGCCTTAACAAGTTTCTTTAAAGTTGATCTTCTGAGCAGATATTTAACCAGCTTGCATAGAGATCTAATATTATGTCAGTTAAGGATTGATCAAAGCCAAGGCCTTAATAGCTAATAAATCCCACACAATGTCTCTCTTCGCTGAATCTAACAAATTTAAATCCTTCCAAAGAAGTTAATTCTAGTTGAGAATGGGACCATATTTAGGGTACTATTGGTAAAAAGGGAATATTGAATAAGTATGGGGGTTTATTTGTAAAATGTTGTAATACCCTATTTAAACCCATGTTATGAATGTACCATATTAGATTTTGAATAATTTTTCCTTATAGCATCAGAGCCTAACCCTAGCCACCACTCCTCTCTCTCGCCCGTCCCTCTCTAAGCATAGTCGTTGCTACAGTTCTATTGCTCTTCTCTTCCGGCCAATCGCTGCATCAAGAAGAACGAGACAAGAAAGAGGAGACATTGGGGGTAAAAGGCTAGGGCGGCAAGGAACATGCGGAGGCTTTTGGAGTTTTCTGTGTCGCGATCCGGCTCTTACTGAGAAACCAGAGAAGTGAGCAATAGGGGTGCAAACGATGCCCAGCTCGTGTTCGGCTCGTTTATATTTCGAGCTCAAAATGTGTGTTCGTGTTCGGCTCATTTGCTTAGTTAGCCGAAAACAAGCTGTTCACGAACAAAGAGTAATTTTGACAGCCCTAACCACGTAGTCATGAGATATTAAGGGTTGGGCTAAGATTTAAAAGTTATTGTTTATATTAAAACATAATTTGAATCTAATTTAATATTTTTTATTCTATTTTCTTAATGAATACTTTTAATTGATTATAAATCTTTGCAGCGTTGTAGTCAATTAAAGAAATTAAAGAGCTGAACACGAGCTTCTTAATGAGTCGAACACGAGCTGTTCGCGAACCGTTTTGACAGCCCTAGTAAGCAATTGTTTTGAGAGTCCTCTGCAGCTGAACATGTGAGACAAGAAATAGGGACATCGGAGGTAAAGGCTAGGATGGCGACGAACAGGCGAAGGTTTTTGGAGTTCTCTGTGTGTCGTGATCCGACTCGTAGGTGAACCAGTGATCTCTTTGTCCCTAAATTGGAACGAAGAAGGTCTGCCCGTGCACCAACCTGTCGGATCCAAACCAATGACCTAACAATTGATCTGCAACACTACAATCCTCGAGTGGACTACCAGAGAACATAGAAGTGGCTTCAGTATGAACAGTAGAGACTGAAGAGGACTTCGAATCGCGAAGTGGCTTCAGTATGAACAGTAGAGACTGAAGAGAAGGACTTCGAATCGACTAAAGGGTTTCTTCAAATTGGGGAGGTGCAGCCTTATGATTGAGGATGGCAAGAGACGGAGATAATGTGGGAGGTAAAGAAGTAAGACTTCTTGGAAAGATAGATCATGAGGTTCAGAAGGTCTTGGTCGGGCTCATACAGCGAGTTAGTTTCTCTACAAAAACCACTACTTCAACACGTGCTTCAATGCAGGTCAAGCTAGATCTCCTTCCCGTGGATCTAAAACTTGATGGACTTGCCACATATTTGATTTGTTCACGTTGGATTGAGGTGGCTCTAGTAGGGAAGAGACTAGAGAGCTATCTGACCAAGAACGAGCCAAAGAGTGACAATGTTGAGGGAGACTGGCTACTCAACTAAATAGTTTCGTCAACTAAATCCACAATAGATGGCATTTGAAATGTGAGGGACATATGGGCACAACTGAAGAGGGTTTACGGGGGTGTTCTAAATTCAACGTGATACAAAAGCAGGGATACAGGGTGATAGATCGATTCAAGAATATGCCATAAATTTGGAGTGGCTTTGGGCAGATCTTGATCACTTTTGACCATGTCGAGTTGTGGCGATCCGAAGTGCAAAGGGAGAACTTCACACAGAAGAGTACTATGCAGTTTCTGACAAATCTGAACCCAACCTTTGATTATAGGACATTAGTCCTCCTAACTTAGGTGGCTATCCCTTCATTGGATGAGATCATTGCTACGATAATATAGGAGGAGACCCGCATGAAGCTACACTTTGAGCCGTGAACTTCTAGGTGTGTGATCAGCTTTGGCTAACTCGAGCTCAAGTAAGATAAGTGTCTAAGGGGAGACTTGTAAGTGTTGCAACTGTGATAAAGTTGGTCATAAGAGCAAGACATATCCCAGGCCACCTAAATAGAGATATAGTTGGGCGTGGACAGAGTGAAGGTTGTGGTTGTGGCCCTGATGCTCAAAAAGAAGGAAAAGTGGGCTACCGGACAAATCTGATGGTAGTAGAGGAAGAAGAGAAAGATGTGGATTTTACCAATGAGGGTCATGAGTGTCTGGAGTTGTTGAAGAGGAAGTCGTAAGCAACAAAAAATGGGTTAAAGATGCTTCCAACCAATCATCATCAAGGGATAACATTGTCACTTATGCTCACACTAACAAAGGTACTTGTGATACACATGCTCTTGTCTCTATTTTCACCACAGGATCATCAGAATAGATAGTACATTCTGATACATCTCAACATGTGATAGGTACTGCTAGAGAGCTTTCTTCCTATACTCCCCTAGTTGTAACAGAGAGCATGCAGACTGTCGATGGTACAGGACAGCCTGTAGTTGTTAAGGATAAAGTGAGAGGTATCAATTATATGATTTTGTTCAATGTTTTGCATGCTCTATTTCCAATGAACCTTTACCTATTAGCGTTATCATTCTTCAACTAAATTGTGTTGTTTCTTTTGATATTCTTGAGATGGTCTTTCAAGTGAAAGGGACTAGTCGAGCACTTGGGACTGGAATGCGGTGTAGTGGACTCTAGTGCTTGGGCCGGGAGAGGATGGACTCAGCTTTGACATTCATGGTAGAGTGTGTTGGAATAGGAGAATCTAGAAAAAGTGTGGAGGATGTGTTGTTGCTACATCAGAGAAACAAAAGACACTCTTCTTCTAGTTTATTGAATCAGTTGTATACTTCTTTTTATGAAAAAGCAAATAAACAAAAGCTTATTTGTGATGCTTACAAGTTTGGCAAACTTACTAAAAGCTCTTATATCAGTTCTAAGAATGTGTTCTCGTGGTTTTGACTTGATACATTATGATGTATGTGGACCTTTTTCTACAAGCTCTGTGAATGGTTATCAATGATTTATAATCTTCATTGATTATTTTTTTGTGCTGGTTACATTTCAAGAAAAGTAAGGGAGATGTGTTTGCTTACTTTAAACACTTCCACAACGCAAATCAAATTCAATATAGTTCAGTGGTGAAGGTATTGAAGTCTGATAATCAGACAAAATATACCAAAAAAGTATTTATGAAATACTTATTAGCCCAAAGGAAACAACATCAAATCCCATGTCCATACACACCGACACAAAATAGAGTAGCATAGAAAAAGAATAGACAATTTTTAGAGGTAGCCCAAAGCTTGATGATTATGATGAATGTCCCAAAGCACTTATGAGGGCAAGCAGTTTTAACAGCTGCTAAATTGATCAATTGGATGCCCTCGAGAGTGATGGATTGAAAGTCTCATTGTTAGATGTTGGATGGAGATAATAGCAGGATCCTTCCATTGAAAGTGTTTGGATGTGTATGTTTTGTGAAAGATAACAGATCATCAGTAAGGAAGTTGGATCCTATAACCGTGAAATATGTGTTTGTATATTATTCTGCTACCCATAGGGAGTATATCTGCTAAAACCCGATAGAGAAGAGACTGTTTGTGAGCATGAATGTGTCATTTTGAGAATTTGAATTGTACTACGCCTACTTCAATGACTCGTCAGATATGAGACAAGGGGGTGAGTAGCAATTGTGAAAGAGCGGTACATGTGGGAGCAATGTCTTGTCCTATGATGTGGGATGAATCAGGAAAGGAACCAGAAAATGAAGAGGGTGAACTCAAAGATTGTGGGATTCATGCTGAAAGTGAGCTAAAAGTGTATACTAGAAGAAGAAAGCAAAATGAGGGGACGGTGCTTGCAGTGTCACTTGTGCAAGCTAATCCCTTGTCCCAGACTTTTCCGACTCTTGAAACACCTATACGAATCATCTCTGGTGACTTGATCTCATTTTCACATAATTCCTCTTTCGCTCATCTGTAATAACACTTCAATTATTGCAATCCTTCTTGTCCCAGACTTTTCCGACTCTTGAAACACCTATATGAATCATCTCTGGTGACTTGATCTCATTTACACATAATTCCTCTTTCGCTCATCTGTAACAACACTTCAATTATTGCAATCCTTGGTCCTCTCACAATGCCTACAAGCCTCATGATGATCAAACTTGCATGCCCTCCATTGCATCCAAATCCTCCTCCATTGCATCCAAATCCAACGAGCATTCTTAGAATGATTTCTTGTATGCTTGCTTTTATTTATTTATTTATTGGAACAATTTCAATTGAACACTGCCACTTAAAATGATAATTGTACCATATCATCAAAAAGAGTAAATTTTTAAGTGATTTGAATGCAAAGCTAAAAAATTCAAATACATAAATCACGGGCTCAGGTATATCATATTACATAAGTGGAGACGCCTTCATTTGTCATAAATACAACCTATATTATGAATATCCCGTCATCCAAATTTTTGGAGTGCTCTCAAAAGTTATTGGTATAGATTCGATCATCATTTCAAACAATCTAACGCATTACTCCATGCTCTTGGTCCAAATGTAAATTGCAATTCGTTGTGTATAACCAAACTTCAAGGAGATCACGATTGCGATACTAATTTTTTTCAAATTTGTGTGAATTTTAGGACATGAATTTGGGTAAGAAGATTGGCAAAGTTAGGATGTGTAAAATGAACCCTACTTTCCTATAGTTGGCACACCTGAAAGTAAGTCATAGAAGAATAATTGTCTCTATAATAGCAATAACAAAGACTGTTGTTATGTTGTGGCATTATTGATTAGGATGCCCAACATTTTACAGCTTGGCAAAATATTTCTTCCCATATTCAATGAAAATCAAAATCTTTCTAGTTTCAGAGATGGAAAAAAAATGGAACATAGAGATGAGAAATTGGGATTACTGACTTGGGACGATATCAAAATATCGCTATAAAGAATAGGTTCTAAACCAATACAATCTACAAACTCGTGATAAAATTCACAAGCAAGTCGGGTATTTGGATCCCAAGAAACGTTCCATATTTGAACTAGAGTTTATCGGAGTTGAAATTTCACAAAAGAAAACAAGTCCAATATTATTTCTATTTGCCAACCGTTATCACGCTCTTATGGATCTAACAGCAAAAATGGGAACAGAAGAAAGTTCAATTGTAGATGACGGTGAAGATGATAAAAACAAGTTGGAAAGTGCATTTACCTTCCTCACACATGACCAATCATCAACTTCTCTATGAGCATAGGTATTGTATGATGAGTTTTGCATAACTTAAAAAAGAATCATGAAAAAAATGTACTTTAAAAAGACTTCAATTAGAGACATTGAAATACGTAGTGATCCTTATTAGGTCAAATCAACATACAAAAAAAAACTACACTATATTGTATTTATAAGAGAACTTGGTTAGTTGGTTGATAATGGAGTTAACCCAAACAATAACAGAACAATAATATTACTGTTGAAATTCAAATAGAAAGTTACAAACAACCAACCGAAATAAAAAATAACAACGCGACACACGGAAGTTTGAAATTGTGACAAATGACAACACTAACTCAAACGGGTGAACCTTGACAGTGGTAGTGGTGATCAACAAGAGAACGGACCTTTGGATGGGTGCCAAAGGATGGTGAATGGACTGGAAGGTAAGTTGGCAGCAAGGGGGTGATGGTGACAACAAAGGGGGGAGTAAGAAACTGTCGGAATAGCGAGAAGTTGGGCTATCTTGGATGGTGGCAACAAGGGCGAGGGGCTGGATAGTGGCCAAACAACAGAAGAAGTGCTATTCTGATTCTGGACTGTGGCAGCAAGGGAGGAGGACAGCGGCATCAAACAATGGCAACAAGTTGGAATGAGAGTAATGGATGGTTGGGCAGCTGGAACAGCAGAAAACAACAGGAATGGTTGTTCCCGGGAAGCTGCAGCGAGGGGTCTGTTGGCGGCTGCGACAGGCAATGCGGGGGACTGCATGACAACAAGAGGACGGCTATCTCGGGTGGCGGCAGCAAGGACAAGAGGACGGAATAGAGAACTGCAGGGAAAACAACAATATGAGGCTTTTTGGAGGCAACTGCAGCAGGGGAGGACGGCCAGGAGCGACGGGGAGGATGAGAAAGGGAATAAGAAAGATAATCACCACCTAGAGACCAAAATGCAGCCGAAGCACCATCTAGAATCCTATGATACAGCCCTCGAAGGGAAGAAGAGACATCAATATAAATAAATAAATAAATAAATATATATATATATATATGAGAGAGAGAGAGAGAGGAGGGGCCGGCCGACTACTTTCTGTGTCCTGCTGAACCAGTCCAAGGGGGTGGGGGAAGAAGCATCCGGTTCAGGGGAGAGGCACATCAGCATTAGAGATAGCATAGAAACTTAATTTAGCACTATGGCTTATGACTTATTTGAAGGTATGTGAATAAATAATTGGCTTAGAAAACTGAGAATCTCAGCAGAAAATATTATGATGTTTTGCAATAATAAAACTATCATAAGCTTTACAAAGAACCGTGTTCATTATGACAAAATAATTCAAGTAGATGGATCATCATGTCATCAAAGGGAAACAAAAGAAAGAACTCATGAATCTAAGACACGGGCTATAATTCTTAAAATACAGAATTAAAGAATAACCATTAGAAGAAACAAAATCATACCCTATTTTCAAGGAAAGCTTGAGAGAACCTCGATAATCTCCCCTATGATCTGCTCCAATTGTCCGGCCAAAGGCCATGTCACATTCTGTTAGGAAAAAACTACATACAGGTCTGCCGTACCATGAGGGCCAAATGTGCGGTTGAGAATGATCACCCTGCAGATGCATGCATAATTTTAGGCTTGTTGGATATTATTTAACCCTCCGAAAAACCATATAATTTGATAAAGCGGTTACCTCATTGAAGAAGTCGATAACACAGAAATCAGGACTAGCAGGCAAAACTTGCAATTGCACCAAGCGATCAAAATAATCATTCAGTAACTTTGGAATGGGCTCCACTTTCCGCTCTATAAGTGCAATTTTTATAATGTTTTACAACTCGAATGGTTATACTATTTATAAAATTTGAGCACAAAAATACAGAAGAATGCAGAACTTACCTCGCAAGGAACTAGCCTCACTTTCATCATCTGCTGGTCGTTCAGAGATAGCGATGCCAAGTTGAATCATTTCTCGGCCATGTCCCTTCATTGGCCTCTTCGATAACACCATTGTGTGGCCTGCTCATCATCGCTCTAAGGCTTAATATGCTATCAACTATAGAGAGCAATTTTATGATAGATGTGACAAAAATCTAAAGGAAATCCCTCATCTTAATAAATTTGTTGAATGATGAGAAATGATATACGTCTTTTCCCTTTTATTAAAAAAATGAAGAAAAATCGTAAACTACTCGTGTAAGAAACCATACAGCGAACACATTGGAAGGTACACGCAAATCCACCAACAAAAGCAAAGAAAATACAAGATAAAATATTGTGTTTATACACCCACCATGACAATGCTAGAAATAAATGAAACGCAAGATAAATAGCCTCTAACATTTTCTTTGATGCATGACAGGAAATGTTGGCAATGGTATATCCATGGTTAGAATGGTTGCTTTCATATGTAATTGCATCGATAATAATTGAAGAGGGGTCTTGCCTGGAAAATCTCCCCTTCTCCCAGCTGCTCTCATGTCATTGGTAAATGAAACCAGTTTTGTGATATCTGAGCTATCAAACAATTCCTCATAAAGCTTAAGACCTTCTACAACATTGATCTGCAGAAGTTTATCATGCTCTTCATAAATTAATGAGGTACATGAACAAATGATTAACATATTTCCTTCCCAAGGCTATTTTTTCTGAAGGAAATTAAGATCTATACAATGAACTAATTTAAAGAGCCTACCATCTTCCCATCACTTATTTCATTCCCCACGAGAATTTTGGGAACTGGAACTAGCTGCTGATTTCCATCTTGCTTCAGAATTTGATCACTACCAAGAGGAAGGGAATCGTTTTTTGTTTCTGAAAATGAATAAAGCGAGACATCAAGTAGCAGAACCTTTCCATTCAATCAAATGCAGTAAATAGCCTACCGTGACCCAAATCACGTTTAAATAATAATAAAAATCATGTCAGAAACGAATATCTAAATCAGTTCATAAAAACACAGGATGTACAAAAATTTCACAATTGTATTTTACTAAAGCTAAACTCTATGAATACCTTGGAAATCACTTGAAAAAAGCAAATATACTACAGGCCCTATTAATTGTAAACAATCAGAATTGCATAATAAAAAAAATCAAGGTTAATTTTCAAGTACCAGTAGAAAGGTTTTTTGGCGGGACCACAGTAGAAAGGACCATATTATATCTACTATATCATTGATCAAACACTTGTTGAGCCCAAAAACTTAAGCTATTAGAATATCAACATCAACGCATTTTTGAATCATCCGATGTGAGACTAACAATACTCAAAAGGTGTGCTACAAAGGTCTCGTTAAGTAAAAGAACTTGATGTAGAACAATTAATCATCTAAAGTTCCTTAGGCAGCTTGAGAAGCAAAATGAAAATACAAAAATGACCAATATACGCAACTTATGCAAAAACCTTGCCGCTTTTAATGTAAGAATAAGAAATAAGCATTGTTCATCCCAAAAAACAATAAATAATCAACAAACTATAAAACAATACAACAAAAATAACAAATGCATAAAATTTCAGCAACAATCAAGTTCACACTTTAAAAAAAGCCTAGAGAATAGCATACCTCATTTGGCAACATGTCAATCTCACATACGCAACAACAATTCAAAAGACATACAAGACTAGAAGTCCCCCTAAATGAGTATAGTGAGTGTTGAGAAATTAGGGCGAAGAAAAATAACAATCGACACAAATCCAAAAGAACACAAAGATTTAACGATGTTCGGCAAAGATGTCTACGTCCTCGGGAGCAAAGCGGCGAATTCCTTTCAATATTCAGAAAAGATATTACAGAATTTGGGATGCCTCTTGGGGTTTCTAACATGCTTATTTATAACCCCAGGAGTAAACCCTAAGTGCAATATGTAATTACAGATTACCCCTGTACTGTACTACGGGACGTTGCCTCCGCACCCCCAACTTACATAACGTAACTTCCCTATATGGTATTCATAACATAACGTAACTTCCCTATACGGGACGTTGAACAGATTCTTCCGCTCCGCTTCGTTCCAGCGTCTGTCCCTATATGGTATATGAGTCATACCATAACAAATCTCCACCTTGACGAATATCCAACCCCTTAGGAGAAAATATATCTGAGAGTTATATCTGCACCACTGTGGGTTGGGCCACCATGCTTCTCTAGCAATTGTGCACATTCAACAAGTCCAAGCAATGCAATAACTTGTTGATAGTAACTGGTTTGGTCAACATATCAGCTGCATTTTCATCAGTATGAACCTTCTGCAACAGTAGCTCACCAGAAGCAACTTGTAATACCTGACATCAATGTGTTTGGTTCTCGCATGGTACATCTGGTTTTTAGCCAAATAAAAAACACTGACTGTCACAATGCAACTGAACTCCACCTTGCTCAATGCCCAGTTCCTTTACTAGCCGCAGCTTCAATTACTGTCGCGTACTCAGCTTTAGTTGTAGATAATACCACAATAGACTGAATTGTTGATTTTCAACATATAGGTCATCCATCAAGAGTAAACACATACCTAATTGTAGACCTTCTGTCATTCAAATTCTGAATCAATGTGCCCCACACCTAAAGGATCATCCTGCTGACTTCCAAAAATAATTTCATGTCCTACAGTATCCTTTAGATACCTGAAAATCTCTTTGACTACTTCCCAATGTCGTCTTTCAGGTTTAGTCATGTATTTGTAGACTTAACTAACAGCATGAGCCAAATCAGGAGTACATACCATTCCATACATCAAGCAGCCAACTACACTGGCATATGGAACATTTGTCAGTCATGTCTTCGCATTTGTCATGTCTTCGATTTCTGTATCTGTCTTAGGACATTGTTCTGAAGAAAGCTTAAAATGATTTGTCAAAAAAATGCTTACAGCTTTGTTTTGCTCATCTCAAACCTGTACATCACTTTCTCAACATAGCCTCGTTGAGATAAACATAATCGTCTTGAGCCTGTCTCGATGAATCTTCATTCCAAGTATTTTCTTCGTAGGACCTAAGTCTTTCATGTCAAATTTCTGGCTCAATAAAGCTTTCAAACCACGAACATCATTCACATTTTTTGCAGCAATCAGCATATTATCAACATACAGTAACATAAAAATAATAGAACAATCATCAAGACTTCACATAAACACAGCAATCATACTCACGTCTCTTGTAGCCAATTTGAATCATGTACGAGTCAAACCGTTTGTACCATTGTCTTGGAGACTGTTTCAACCCATACAGTGATTTTTTTAACTGCAAACCAGATGTTCCTGTCCAGGTTGAGTGAACCGTTCTGGCTACTCCATGTAAATATGCTCCTCCATATCACCATGGAAGGAAGCAATTTTAACATTCATCTGCTCCAAATGCAAATCCCAAATGGTTACTAATGCAAGCACTGCCCTGATTAAATATGTCTGACCACAGGAGAAAAGATTTCATCATAATTTATCCCCTTCTGCTGTGAAAGTCTCTTTACTACAAGTCGAGTCTTGAACTTTTCCCCTTCTTTTTCTGATACTACTGGTTTCCTTTTGTACACTCACTTGCAACCAATAGTCTTCTTTCCCTCAGGAAGTTGAACTAGCTCCCATGTGCGATTTTTCTACAAAGACTCCATCTCTTCAATCATTGCACCCACTTATTTCTCTTTCTCCTGGCTAGTGATAGCTCCTTGAAAAGTGGTTGGATCATCACTGCTGATGAGAAGTGCACAAGAGACCAAATCTTCATAACCTAATCTGTCAGGAGACTTTATATTGGTGCGTCTCTGTCTGTCTCTGGCTAGATTATAATTCTGCAGATCATCTGGAATGGAATCACCAAATGTTGGATTTGAACCTTCAACTCTCTCAGTTATTTCTGGATGTTGTTCTAAATCCATTTGCACTGCATCTGAAATGAAATTGTTCCTTTGCACATTGTCTTGATTCTGCTGTAACATAGATTTTTCATCAAAAATTGCATCTTTGCTGATCACCACCTTCTTTGCAATCGGATCCCAAAACTTGTATCTTTTTACAAATTTTTTATAGCATAGAAAGATGCACTTCTTGAATTTTGCATCAAGTTTTGATCTTTCATCTTCAAGTACATGCACATAAGCAGGACAACAAAAAATACGTAAATGATCGAATTTAACTAGATTATTTGTCCATACCTCTTCTGCGACATTGCCACCCAACGATGTCTGAGGTGATCTATTGATGAGATAACATGTAACATGTCATATTCACACATATTCACAGTCTTTGCCCAGAAACTCTTAGCAAGCTCTGCATTCAGTCTCAAGCATCTTGCCCTTTCAGTTAAGGAACTGTTCATCCTTTCTGTAACACAATTCTGTTGCGGAGTCTTCTGCACTGAAAAATGCCTATATATCCCATGCTCCTCACAGAACTTCTGAAACTGCGAATCTGTGTACTACGTGTCATTATCGAACCTCAAATATTTGATCTTTCTAACAGTTTGGTTCTCCACCTCAGATTTTCACAGCTTGAATTTAGAGAATACTTCAGACTTTTATTTCAAGAAATACATACAAACTTTCCTGGAGAAATCATCAATAAATGTAACGAAATACTGAGATCCTCCCAATAATGATTCTCTGGTAGGATCTCATACATCAGAATGCACATAATCAAGAATCCCTTCAGTTTATATTTTTCAGTCATAAAACTGACTCTAGTCTGTTTTCCAAGAACACAGAACTTACAAAGATCGAACTTGCAGCTTTTAACACCATGCAACAGATTCCTTCTATGCAATTCCGTCATCCCACGTTCACGGAGATGACCCAAATGCATATGTCATAGTTTTGTACTATCATCATCTGACTCCATAGAATGAAGTCCACCTATAACTGTACTCCCCAACCGTTTGTAGATATTGTCTGCAGTTAACTTTCCTTTCATCATCGTTAGTGCACCCTCAACAATTCTGATGGTTTCTCTATCTTCATCTGCCTTAGGAATAAAACAATTTCTGCATAGTGCCCAAGGAAATCAAAATCTTCTTCAAATCTGAAATATGTCTGATATCACATAATGTTCTAACTATGTCATCATACATCTTAATTCTGACTTATTTAATATCAGCAATATTGCAGTATCTATCATCACCTAGATAAACGGAGCAATAATTAGTTGAATTGTATGAAGTAAACCACTTTTTGTTATGTGTTAAGTGATAAAAGCATCCTGAATCAAGAATCCATGCATTTGTGAACTGAGTTGATGAAACTGAAAGCATATCACCATCACTGCAATCTGAATTGTCACTCTGCACCACATTTACAGTTTTCGATTATTCATCTCCTTTCTCCCCAGTCTGTTTTTTGAGTTGCGGATAATCTCTCTTCATATGACCTAACTCCTTGCAATTATAGCAATGAATTTAATCTGAAATTTCGCCTTTGGACTTGGATCTGAAATTTTGCCTTCTAGAACCCTCCTTCTCTTTCTTCCTTCCACGATCCTGCTTACCCTTAACATATAAAATGTCGCCATGAGAGCTTTCCCCTGCATTCTGCTTCCACTGGTTGTGAGCCAACAATGCTGCAGTTATCTCATCAACTTTGAATAGTTTCTTTCCCATATGTAAGAATAGTCACTAGGTATTCATAGGAAGAAGGCAGTGAACACAACAAAATCATTGCTCGGTCTTCATCTTCAATAGTCACATCAAGCCGTGATAAATCTGTGATTATTTGATTGAAGTCATTAACATGCTGCGCCAGATCAGAAACTTCTTGCATTTTCAACCCATATAGCTTTGCTTCAGATACAATTTATTCATCAGAGATTTAACTATAAATTGAGTTTCCAATT